CGTCTTTAAGGTTCTTCCAACGCAAACCATTCCATGATTCCGTGATGTTTCCTGGTGGAAAAGGGACCCTGCCCATGGTAGAGGGGTGGAACTGGACCGTCTTTAAGGTTCTTCCAACCCAAACCATTCCATAATTCCATGATCTTTCCTAGAGGAAGGTACTCCTTCCCATGGCAGGAGTTGGAACCAGATGGTCTCTAAGGTCCTTCCAACCCAAACCACTCCCCAATTCCATGATCTTTCCTAGGGGAAGGGGCCCCTGCCCATGGCAGAGGGGTGGAACTGGACCATCTTTAAGGTTCTTCCAACCCAAACCATTCCCCAATTCCATGATCTTTCCTAGGGGAAGGGGCCCCTGCCCATGGCAGAGGGGTGGAACTGGACCATCCCTGAGGTCCCTTCCAACCCAAACCACTCCACAATTCCGCGATTCTCTGACTCCCAGCTTCCCAGAGCAGCCTCCCCGTGACCAAACCCATCCTCGGCACCGTCTCACACCGTCCCAGCTCCGCCGACACGGAAATTCCCGGTGCCACGAGCCGGCCGCGGCCGAATTCCCTGCGAGATTCCCGCAGGAGGAGGGAACGAACGCTCCCGAGGAGGCTCCCGACAGCTCCAGGGCTGCTCCTCGGTGGATCCACCCTCCCTGTGCCCCGGCCGTGGCTCCAGAGCCCGCCCTGGGCTGCCCGGGGACCCCGGGAGAGGCGGCATCGCCACGACACTCCTGCGGGAGGTCCCTGACACGTAATTAAACGCTGTGGTGAAACCCGACCGTAAACAAGCCATGAATAAAAACCCCTTGAATTATTTTGCCAAACTATAATTACACAATAAGGAAGCAGATTAATTAAGTAAAATACAAGTCCTGAAACCGAAGCTTGCAAGCAAAGCAGTTTATTTTAATTTCCACATTATTTCGCATGAGATACAAGTGTTTGCTGTGGGTTTGAAATGTTGGAAGCCATTCCTCGCTGCCAGGCAGGCCAAACCCAGCGGATAAATTAAATTTTTGCATCTCAGGCACCTCCTGAAATGTATATAAGGGGAAGGGCCGCGCCTCGGAGGAGCCACAGGAGATCCGCTCTGCC